CCTCTCTGCCCGCCGTTCCCTCGACATCTGCCTCTTCGCCTTCTCCAGCCCGCAGCTGGGCCGTGCCGTCCAGATCCTCCACCGCCGCGGTGTCCGTGTCCGGGTTGTCACTGACGCAGAGTACATGGGGCTAAAGGGCTCCCAGATCGGCTTCCTCCGGGATGCTGGTGAGGTGGCCTCCCCTGGGCAAGGGGTCTCTGTGGGGCAGGGCTGGGCCCTCGGGGTGGCTGCGGCCTGGGGGACGGCGTCGGTCACTACTGAAGAGGTGGTTGTGTCTTTGTAGGGATCCAGGTGCGCCACGACCAGGAGAGCGGTTACATGCACCACAAGTTCGCCATCGTGGACAGGAGGGTGCTCATCACAGGTTCCCTCAACTGGACCACCCAAGCGATGCAGAACAACCGGGAGAACGTGCTGGTTGTGGAAGAAGCTGAGTATGTGAAGCCTTTTCTGGATGAGTTTGAAAGGATTTGGGAAGAGTACAATCCCGTGAACTACAAATTTTTTTCCAAAGACAATAAATGACTGAGCTGCCTGACAGGAAGACTACTAACATTCATGGACTTGTAGACATCATAGTATTATCCATCTGGGTGTAATTTAGGTAAGCTTGTCCAGAGAAGCAAAGTGCTTTCTACCCTAAAAAGTGCCACAGGTCCCGTGCTCTGGGTCATTCCTGTACTAAAGGGATGACCCCAAGTGTTTGTGAGTTGTTTTGTGAGGATAGCTGTGGTAGGACTGCATTCATAGAGCTTAAAACTACAGGCAAGCTCATTGCTGTGTGCTGGCGCAGACCAGGTGTGTTCATGTGGTGCTGGGAAGGTGTTTCAATGGTGCCATGGATATTTTCCAACTTGGGCTACTGCAGAAAGGACTTCTAGCCCTATGGCTCCTCTACATCAGTAACTCTAAAGGAAGAGTTAAGAGGGCTACAGCAAAGCTAGAGTTTGTACAGAGAGATTTAGCACCCTAGTTACCTTTCTTGTTGGCATTAATTGTTGAAAGTTTGTAAAAGGAAATTTGTGGGCAATAAGAAGGAAGAAATCAGAGGTACGTTTTGATTGTGTACACATTTCCTTTGGCTTGACATTAGCAGAGTTCCAGTGTAAAAGCACGAGAACAGATACTAATGACAGTCCTTGTGGATTGGTTGTTCCAAGAATCCAAATCATTAAAAATTCCTGTAGAGCCTTAACTGTTATTTAGGATACAGGGAGTAACATCAACAGATTGCAGACTTGTTCTGCTCTGTTTGAGAAAGCTGCGATGGGGCTGGGGGAAAAAAATGCCACACTGCAGTTATCTGTGGTGTAGCAACTGTGGAAGAAGCTGCGGAAGGTCATTCTCTAGTAACTCCTGTTCAGCAGCACTAGATTTACACTGCTTTAAATATGTTATTGCTATTAAAATGTTACCTGTTGCATTTTCTTTGTGAAGTGTGACTATAAAAGCAAACAGCTCACAGGCCCTCAGGCTCTGTCCTCTGCTCTGTTCTTTCTGTGGTAGTGTCCTCGTTGAAAGAAACACCTCGGTACACAGCATGCAAAGGGTGGTGCAAAAATACTTTATTACGATATAGTTAATGTAAAGTTAGGTAATTATATTTACAAAATAAAAACGATCAGCTACATCCACGGGAACCTAGCATGTCACACAATATTTTGTAAGGAATAAATACTGTGAGAAAAAGTGACATTTCTATTACAGTGAGCAGTTGAGCGGCAACAGTGGCTCTTAAAAAAGCTCTGAAATACTGGAGTGGAGGGGAGAAGGGGAGGAGAGAGGAACTCACATGTACGGAGAAACAGGAGCTTCCAACACCCATTCCCCTTTGCAGAGGGAAAATATCATGTGTAAGACATTATTTCCTGGACCAATCTGTGTGGAAAATGCCCTGTAAAAGAGTCTGTTCCCCCCAGAGTGACAGGGCTCGAGGAAACTGTGCTTCCTCCTCCTCCCTATCGCCTCGCTGTGATCGTTCCTGCGTTTGAGCCGCAGGGATTTCCAGTAGCCGTGAGGCTGCAGCATCCCGCTGCTGCCCGGGTACCACCGGCCCTGCTCTGCTGCCTCTTTGCCTCTCTGCCTCGGTCAGAGGGCTGGCTGCTGTGTCACATCGTCGCAGAAACTGGGAAATTACTCTTGCATCCTCATTACTCACAGTCCCTTTGGGTCATTCCTAGAGTACAAGTGGTGCGTGTGTGGTTTTACTCCAGAACCAGTCCCCTTCGGTTACGGGTCGGTCATGGGTTAAAGCAGTGCTCAGACAGAACGAAAGCAAGCCAGGACGTGGAGGAAGACTGACCGTTGGTACCTGAAAGGCCAGCGGCACTTCAGATACCACCCACAGACTTGCAGAGCTTCCTTCTCTCTCCCCAAAACTTCATCCTTTTAAAAAAAACCCGATTCTTTAAAATCTCAAGTCACCCACAACTCCAGGTCCCAGGAGGGTGGACATGGGTCAAAGACTGTGCGTTCCTATCTGCTTCCTACTTACCATAGTCTTTAGTATTTTACAACATACTTTGCTGTCTCTAGAACAAAGAGCGAGTGTTCTTGTGAGTCCCGCACACAAGCAGCGTGTGAAGAAAGCAGGAAGAAAATCATGGTAATTGCACTCATTATTTACGAGCTCGTGGCTTAGGTCAGTTGACACCAAGTCGTCCAGCTCACCAAGTCTCTGCTGGTAAATCCCACACCCTCGGATTCTTTTAGTAGTCTCCAACTGAGGCTGCCTTGTCCAGCCTGGTGCTTCCTGCTCCTGCAGCAGTGTGTTTGCATCCCCTTGTAGGAAATGGTTTGTACTACGGGATCACGTTAGGTTCAACTCAGTAGTAACTACGTTGTACTGAAAGTTACGTTTGAACAGCTACGTACTGCAAGTTAGAGCGCACGTCCGTGCTGCTGGAGGATGTGTGTCTGTGCAGCGGGGTCTGTCCTTCCCTCGGGAAGTCCGAGAGCATCTGGAATGCGCGGCACAAGCGAGAGACGGAGTTACACCGAAGCCACTGTGCAAGGCCAGCTGTGCGTGCTCTGCCACCGAGCAGCTGCTGTGTGTAACGACGGATGACAGTTTGCACGTACATGGGCTTAATGCCACTATCAAATACACAATTAACTGAGTTATCTGGGAAAAAAACCAAACCCCAAAGTTTATAGCGCGGTAAGGTTACAGTTCTCAAACAGTCTGTACACAATCTTTGGGCAGGCATCTTCGAAACTAAAGGTACAGGGCAGCAGAAAAGCTTGGAAAAGATATTTATAACAGTCATCAAAACCAAACAGTTTATCAGGGTTGGGTTGGACACATTACGCTTGGCGCTCCTCTCCCAACCCCTGTGTGGGATGTCTGTGTTAGAACAAGATTTAAAAATCAAAACCACAGCTTAAGTCACAAAAGAGAGCCCTCCACTAACTTCTGAGTTATAAATATTTACATTGCGTGCTTTGAATATTATACAGGTTTTAAATTACTTTTTTTAAAAGATAAGAATAACAAAGCTTTTTTTCTTAAAAAGAAATTGGAAAAAATTACAAGCTACACCAAGCGTGCATGTGCTTAAGTGTTCACAAAAAAGTAAGTAGTGTATCCAAACTGTGAAAAAAAATGCAAAGATCTAGTGGAAGTGCAGTCACGTACAGAGCTGGTACCAAAGGGACACGTTTTCCAGTGCTGGGGGCAGCTCTCGTAAGGCAGTCCAGTCCACCTCTGTTTGCTACAGGAAAAAAAGAGACTTTCCTGGTTTGCAAGTCAGCAGAGAATTCTAGTTCTGAAGCAAATGAACACAATTTGCTTCTTTTTTTATATACGGGCAAAGAAAAGGTCACTGTTAATGAAGGATTCAGTCTGGTTCAGGGGAGATGGTGTGGATGGCAGAAAAACTGTACACAGGGAAAAGAAATAAGTTACTTGGAGCTGATGAGAAGGCGTCTGTGTCTCAATTCTAGTTCTGAAGCAAATGAACACAATTTGCTTCTTTTTTTATATACGGGCAAAGAAAAGGTCACTGTTAATGAAGGATTCAGTCTGGTTCAGGGGAGATGGTGTGGATGGCAGAAAAATTGTACACAGGGAAAAAAAAATAAGTTACTTGGAGCTGATGAGAAGGTGCCTGTGTCTCGCCTTCATGCCACTTGACTTTCCCCAGCCCTCACGTCTCGGTACTATCGACAGTGCCAGCAGGGAGGAGCGGGGAGCTCGCCCTCTCCTCCCCATACCCTCTCCCCCCTCTCCACACTCTAATTTACAAAGCCACTGATGCACCTTGAAAGATGGATGAAGCCTGGAGCAGGAAGAAGCAAGAGGATAACTAAGGACTGTTGCTATCAGGAAAAAGCTTTACAGCTGGTGGTTTTGGTTTTTTTTGAGCAGTGCCCTAAGCCTAGAGCAGAGCCTGCAGCAGCAGTTCCCAACAGCTGTCTGCATGCCGCAGCATCTCCTTTTCCTCCTCCTCCTCCTTCACGACCTCCAGAACTCTCAGCTCCCACCATAAGCCATTGCATCCAGCGTTCCCACCTGAAGGTTGATCCCAATGATGCCACTGCTCAGCCCCCAATGCACCTTCAGCACAGCAGAGCCAGGGGCTTGGTTTGAATTTTGAATTTTCAAAGCAGCCTAACTCCCCAGTGGAAGACGGCTGCTCCTACAAGCTACAGCACACAAGACCACCAGCACCACTATGTTCATAACAGACCCCTTTGTTTAGCAATCAATATTTTAAACCCACGAAGTTCAGCAATGAGATGAATTGACCTGGCGCGTCAGGCACTGCGGTGTTCCTGCCGCTGTCCTCCTGCCAGCTAACACATCTTCTTCTGGCCATACCTGTACTTAGTGCCAGGGGTATTTTTTTTGGTTTTTTTTTTTTTTATTTTTCATAGCAAACCTGCCTGTTTTGCTTTTCTCAGCTATTTGGAGGTCCAGAAGCTGGCCAGCATTTATTAAGCCAACCTCTGAGCAGCTGATCCCCCAGGTCCCATCCTGGGAGCAAACCTCAATCCAAATCGGGTATCAGCTGCTTCAGGGAGCAGGGAGCAGGGAGATGCTGCGAGGACCGACATTTTCTGTACTGTAAGGTAAAAACAAACTACAGGAAAGAGCAGAAGAAAAATACTGCTTCATT